TGAAGAATAAGGAAAAGACATTCCTTGCACTTTTGGCGCCGCATGGGATAATGAGATATAATATCCCCAATCCAGGATACCACCCAAAAAAAGAAAACAAGGATGAACCTGCGTGTTAAAAAATTTAGCCATTTATCTATACGACACGTGATCATAAAGATCTTCTTGAAATTATCGTTCCCTTTCCGCTACATAACTTTTGACACTTTAAGTGCGCGTGCCGACCTTTAACCCCCTAACACCCTTAAATTCATATTCGTCCCTCGGCACGCTCCCTTTTGACATTTTTTACTTTAACTTGACATTTAACCTTATTAACTCTCGTACTTTCAATCCATGTTGCAGTAATTTAGTTGTCAAATTTTTTTTTGCAGACACAGTGATTAATTTTTTTAAAACATTTTTTACGTGGAAATCTTGTACGAGGGTGCCGGCGTCTTGGTGGAGTCTCAGGAAATTCCCACATCGAGAACCTCACCCTCTCCTACATAGCCACGCTGGTGCCTATAGAGTCGCCGTTATACCGACTAAGGGATACTGAGAGATGAGAACCATCCCAATTCCGTCTGCGAATTTAGCCCAAAACGGGGGTGGTGGACTGGGGTAAAGTTCACTCGAGTGAGATGCGGTGATCATACAGGACATTGAGCAGGGCGACGCCGACGCCGACTGCGCCAAATTATAACTTATTTTATGACTTTTTTGCACCGGCCATTTAACCCGCCACCGGAGGGGGTGAGTGAGCGACTATAGGAGGTTACGGCGGTTTCGCGACAAATTCTCAAATGAAATCACACCCTAACAACTTCCTAGGGCAATTGGATATTTCCTATTACCAAATGCCAATTCCTACTCTGCTTCTATGCGAACAGTTTTCAAAGCTGGTTCTTCTTTAATCACGATAAAACTGTCCCTAGAAATTATCTATGTAATAACCGAAAGCACAAGGAGATCAAAACTGCCAAAAAATATTTGAAATTAGTAGACGAGTGAACCACCCTATTCTACCGTATAGGATATTCTTATGAGATTATCATGTTACTGCCAAAGAGAACTCTGAATAAAAATTCATGGACAAGTACTCTATTGGACATATAAAAATTATAAGGGTAGTTATATTATGCTGTAATAATCTTCCTAGTATAAAATAATAAATATATATATTTATCGATTTAATCTTACCAACTGCTAAGAGCCATAACTTCTTTTACTTTGTTTATTAGTGACGTATGGATCGATAACAAATGAACAGGGTAGAATGATAATTTATGCATCAAAGCGACACTGAGTCTGTTTCTGACGTAATTTGAAAAGTTTACGGACATATCTCCCATACCAGCAATTTCGAACTTAATTATTTAATGAGAACGCAGTATAGGATAGTACAATGTCGGAATTGTCAAAGTAAAGGAATGGGTAAGTGCAGAGAATGGGTGGGAAAGGGGGGTGTAGAAATGAAGGGTGAGAGGGTGGCGCATATATCAGAAAAGCGAAACCATAACGAGGAGGGTAGGCGTATATCTTGAATTCGAGCACCGCGAACACCGTATCACGCTGTGAGACTCGGTGTTTTATGGTTTTCGCCGCAGAAACTAAACTTATTACACGGCAGGGCGCCATTCCACTCGTGGAGGGGAAGCCTTTTTATTAAATCACACATCTCCTAGCTTGTCGCACGATTAATTTGCCGTGACGTTTCTTTATGGCGAAAAACGCGAGCTGCCGCGCTCGCCCGGATCCATATTTTATCGTTATACTCGTCTCGTCTGTTTGGCAAGGAGAAAAGTGTAGAAAAAGAGATAAAGAAAAGATACGGATGAAAAGATTAAGAATACAGTAAAATGGAAGAAAAGTGAAAAAATATCGGCCGCCCGACTTTACAAGGAAAATCGTTAAGTGTCGAAATTGTTATATACCAGTACAAATTTATGGTGTGTCGTTGGTAGATGATTTTCTAAAAATTTTCAATGAGTTGCTATTTCTAGGAAATTTTTTAAATAGAAAACTATTTTCTCCCTCAACGTCTAATTCGTCTCTTGACTTCTCTTCCTCGGGCATAGGATGTGTAGACTGGAGTATAAGTCCGGGGGATGTCCAAGGGGTAGTTCTGTGCACGTGGGGTGAGACTCCTAAGTCCTGAGTCCTGCAAGGGACGGCTAATTCCAGCGTGATCACATCTGATCGATGTCCCTCGACGACCCTCACGGAGAATCTATTGTCGTGTGTTCTTAAATATTTCAGGTTCTCCGCATTGCGCGACTCTTCTCTGTCCTACCCTTGGTAAAAATCCCTATGGCATTCCTTATAGGGATTTTTTCATTATCCAAATTCATCCTGTTACCAGCGTCGTATACGACGTGACGATATTATAAACAGATTAAATTAATATTGTCCTTTTGAGTTTCTTTGTGAATATTTTTCAAATTTAAATTCCATCCCTTATACACATGTGTGGAAGGTCCAAGCACTAACTCAATCTGTAAAATATTTTCGTTGTAATATTATTATTTATAAAGGTGAACAGAAAAGTGGCCTACCTGCTTTCGAAATTCTTGAGAATTCCAAACTGGACAAAAGATATCCCTGCGACTTTTACACGGACCGGCAGTTTTCTCTTCCTTGCAACTTCCTCACCCTCGGACCAGCATGATTCTTTTGTTTTAGTTTTGCAGTCTGGCCTCTTTCGGACGTCGCCTAGGTACATGGGTGTACACATTGTACCTACTCGGCACGATCGGAGAACATCCATATACCAGTGGACATCCCCTCTACGTCAGGAATCATCCCTTCTGTATCAGCCTGTGACTCGTGAACAATTTCAGGCCTGGGTCAAACTGTAAACGCCAAAGTAGTATACAGGGACGATAAGAAGACCGCATATGGTCTTCAGGGGTGGCTGAAGCTCGATGTGCGGCCGACAGATGACTATCTATTCTCTTCCTATTTGATGGAACTTATCTTATCGTGAAGTCAATAGATAGAGTCTAGAGATAGGACGAGAAATAAAGTCCATATAGGAGAGGAAAATGTTGCGAATGCACCCTTAATTAACTTGCGACAGCTTCAACGATGAGCATTACCATTACAGTTGCCTTAGTCATCGACAACAGCCGACGTGGTCAACATTGAGCTGCTACTTTTTCTAATTCCATAATTTGAATGAGCTGTTATTAAATTCGCTGAATGTTAGGTTACAATTAATTGCCAATCCTTTTTTTCAAGACGAGACAGCGCTTTGACTGATTACGAGAGGCAAGGGTGGTAAGAAACGAAAGTTTGCCTTTCATTAATTTCCCGTATACAAGCGAGCGGGTCTGGTCGACATGGTTACGGATGACAAATCATGAATATTATGAAAATGCCCGCGGCTGTGGTTCCATCGCGAAACCGAGAGCATGAGAAATCGGTCCATTGTGTGACCGTAAATATAAAATGTGGCCCGGGAGCCTCTTGGACGGGAAATAAAAATATTTCAGCTTCTGTCCGGCAATCACCGGCCATGCGCTTTGCTACGTAGCGGACGACGCATGGGGTGAGGTAGGGGATGCTTGAGGAAAAAGAAGGGAGAGAAGAAAAAAGGGGGAACACTCGAAAATGACAAAAAAGAGACAGGAACGAAGCAGACTTCAAGGAGGGAAGAGTGTGAGAGAGAGTGTGAGAGAGTGTGAGAGAGTGAGAGAGAAAGAGAGGGAAGGAATAGGAACGAGATAGAGCTTACCAGCATTTCGTATTCCTCGCGCATTGCTTTTATCTCCCCGCATTTTTATTGCATGCTGGAGTAAGAATATGTTTTATTTATATTTTATATTTCGTGCACGCGGTTAAGATAGGGCGGATGAATGTCCAGCCAGTGCTTGGACTTCACTGATTTCGAGTCCCAAGTGAACTACAAGTGTGTCCAGTGGAGATTAGGTGGATTAAACTTACCCCTAGTAGTCATATTTCTGACATCGACACGTTCTTATAGCACACGTGTATCTATATCTCTGAAACGCCATGATGAAGTCTCGTTAAAGATATGAAAAATATGAATTCGAAATATAAAACGTCAAGACGATCACTTTGACAAGACTTACTTAAAACGACTGAATGACGTGTATTCTGTTAGAGATATTTTAAAATGTATTCATGTTTCTCGAATTTATATAACGGGAAACATGTATTCATAACATTGTAGATACATATGTCGTTATTATGTGCTACATCTGACACACTCTAATAAAGGGTATGTGACAAAAATACATACAACCCCAAACAGATACTGAAGAAAATGTCGGCGCCGTGTCTACATATTAGGAGATGAGGAGGGGTTGTTACACGCAATTTGGCACATTTCACGGTAATGAAGGGTTCCCCTTCTTTTTGTTGTATTTTACGACTACCGTTCCACACGAATACGTAACGTGCAGCTCGTCCCTCAAAATGTCTCTTCACGAATGCAAAGACGCACCGATGCGTTTTGTGGCGTTTTCCGAACGTCTTGTGAGGCTTCGAATAATAGACTACACAAAACTTGTAGTTAATGTCGTCACGTTTCCGTAGGTAAATCGAATAGCATTAACTGATTTTAAAAGTAAAGTTTTAACTCGTTATGGATACTTTCCGATCCTACGATTTATTGCAATGACGATGTAAATCAAATCAACAGTCACCACTTTGGAAATTTTAAATAAATCGTAGAATTTTCTGTACCTAAATAATTACTGCTAATACAGCAGGATACGATTTAATGATTATGAAACATGACTGTGAATTTGTCAACGTTATATGCATTTAGCTTTTATTTTAACTACTTTTAACTAATGACGTTAAGGAGCGTTACGCATGAGGATAATGTAGAAGGTAACAAATATGATTGTCAGGATGTGGTATGAACCAGTCAAATAAGGATTTTCTATTGTATCGTATGGATCAATTTTTACGTCTTAAATTTTTGTATGTGACTAGCTTGTGTTAATTATTGTTATTGTCATTACTTTAGATTCAAATGAACATCGGTTGTTGTATGCAAGTCATTGCGTGTTACCTACTTGTCGAGTACATGTGGCGCTGTTACAACAGAAAAGGCGCGAAAATTTTTACGTGCCTGGAGAGAACGTCAATGTGGGCTTTCATCCTTTGACGGAATGTTGAGGCATGATTATCATTTTTATTGCAAGTTTGGTTATTGTGTGCATTTATACTGTGATTAAGCATTATAGTCAAGATTGTATGAACGATTCTGAGTAAGTACATATCTGATAAGCATGGTGAATCAAAGGTTAGATGTCTTTGACAGCAGTTTTAAGGTACCTCTGTAACTTTTAATGGGTTAATAGATAGTATGAATATTAATTATACATATTATTAAAGTCATTGTTGTTATTAACGAACTGTTAGTGGTGTTTATAAGTACTGTAAAACATTTAAGGGTTAGAAATATCGAACAAGTTTAATTTTTTTCTGAAGTGAATATTAATGGATTTTATGTATTTGTTCCAGTCCATCTTTAACTCGTAGCAGAATATATCAGGTGTATGAAGGAAAAATGTCAGCAGAAATGAATAAAGCAAAAGAAAACTTTATTAATCGAGTGATACACAAAGATGGAACTATTATAATATCTGATGATGAAGATTCTCTGGATGGTTCGGAAGTACATGATGAGAAAAAGAAATCTCCTTCTCTATTAATGAGTTTTCATCGACACCCTTGTTCTATGAATGATAGTGTAACAGAACTAAAAAAATTGACTACACAATCATCACCGGAAAAAGGAGATCATAGTAATTTCATTGTGCAAGACCCTTGCAGCAGTAACGCAGAGCCTGGTGACACTCATCCCTTCAAGAATGTCAAGAAACGAGGTTTTTTCAAATGGAATGGTAAAACTGGTAATAAGGATTCTGAAAAGACACTTAAACAGCGAAAGATTTGGAAGCCGCTTAAACAGGAAAAAGATGATTCCCTAATTGAAACACAGCAATTTACAATAGAAAGTCGTTCAATCATAAAACAAAAACTCAAAAATGAAACAGTAGTAGACAGTGCGCAGCATGATATAAAAATAGCTGGGGTTTCTGTAAAATTCCCTGTTAAACCATACTCTTGTCAGATTGCTGTGATGAATATGGTAACTTTTTGAAGATATAAAATCAAGTAACAAACGGATTGATTACAGTTATACCAATTTTTACAGCTCATTCAAGGTTGTGCCAAAAAACAGAACTGTCTCTTGGAAAGTCCCACAGGAAGTGGAAAAACACTTGCGCTTTTGTGCGGAGCTCTTGCCTGGCAGAGTCACTATGAAAGTGAGTAATATCAAATTTATTACCCATTTACATTTGCAAAAGAAATTCTACAATTTTAAAATAACGTGTAAAATAAATGATCACATGCGATACAAAACTAATACTTGCAAATCTTTTAATAAGTTCGTTGCAAGCGTCACAGGCACAGTCACTAAAGGTTTCAAGAACGGCGAAATGGCGTGTATGAAAACTGTTAATTTACCCCACTAGCGATCCGTTCGAACTGGACTACCCCTTAAGCTCGTCATAGCCGCTAAAAACCTCGTAGTAAAGCAAAAACAATTTCCCTCGTTGACGCAAACAAACAAGAAATAACAAGAACACCGAGAATAATTGTTGTAAACTAGAAAACAAGTTTGCGGACCAGTTTAATAACGATAGAGGAAGGTGGCCAAAAGTCATTGCCCATTCCATTTCATCGTTAATGTCGCGATTCTGCTCAACATAAAACAACCCTTCTCCAAAAGCCTCGAACCTTCGTCGACCTTCGTGGCGTCGCTCGTTTCTTAGCCGATTGTCTCGTGACGTACAGCCGTTAAGCCCTCAGCTCCCACCTCTTACTTTCTACATCCCACCAACCCCCCCGTCTCACCCTTCGACGGCAAACTGGCAGCAGCTGCTCTTTTCATGTATGAATTTCACAAATTATTAGAAAAAAAAAACACTCCCTGGAAGTCTTACAGAATTGCAATATAAATAATTTCGTCAGGTGTAAAGTAGTTTCAAGCATGAGACGCCCTACGTAGATGGCACCAGTGTTCGTATTGTATATACATTCACCATTTTCTATAGGGTTGCTAGAGACTTTTCACACATTGAATAATCATTATTTCAAATGCTGTCAATTGTTCTGTTCTCGACCCGTAACGACCAAGGAAAGATATAAAAATTGCAGACGGCCATGTAGATATACCGTAAAGTAAAATTACCAAGTCTAAGGCGGCATCGTTAATAATGAAGACAGCAGCAGCACAGTGAAAGAAAATGTGCGACAGGGTAGTTTCGAGAGCGGCGAAGAAAGCCACACGACCATTAGCGATTGCCGGTTTGCGTATGTTAATTTCAATTATTCAACCGGTTATTTCTAGCTAATGGCCCTTTACGGAGGCCCGCGCAATTTTGCTTTCTGCATGCATGCCGATAATTATTCATGATTCGCCGCCATTTCGAAACAATTAAGCCTCCTAAGCGATTGCAATGTTTGTCCTGACGACGGCGCTGACGTCGACTGAAACTTTTACCCTCATCCACTATAACTTACCCTATGGATATTCCCCTTTGTTTCTAACTCTTTCTTCGTGTACCTCTTCGCTATTATTCTTGTTATAGCTGCTCGCACCTTTGACTAACAGGGTAACCACTGTCATGCGTTTCCAGTATGTCAATAGTATCGAATTAACCGCTGGGAGCACCGACTTCCTCGGCAATTCGAACCACCCTTATCTAATGCCTAATCAGGGACTCTACCATTACCGTTCCGCGTATCGCACAGTAGTTGGAAACTTCGATGGAAACGCGTCGTAGAGAACGATGGAAAGAGAGACGGAGTGAGGGAGAGAGGAAGAGGAGGTCCACGGAAAATATGGGGTAGGCGAAATTAACTCTGATGATTCATAGACGACAATTCCACATAAGAACTCATTCTTGATATACCAGCGAAACAATCAAGATAGAAATCCGTCCAGGCACGCAGCAGGAAATAAGCCGGAAGTCAAAGAGGAAGAATAAAAAAAAAGTTTTTGAGTTTTCAAAAGCCTTCTCCCTCGTTAAAAAAATAATCATTAAAGTTCGTTTCTGTCAGATTATTTGATTTTTAATTTTACAGATGTCATCAGTGACATATATGAAGTCCGTGAGGTAAATCAATGAAGTCTCTCCACTCCTGGGCATTATGTTCATCCAGCAAGAGGCAGAGCAACGAGTTAGACTTTAAAGTTTAGGTTATGTTGGAGTCCGGTTTTCGCGTTAGAGAAGGGTAAACGATCGCGTGCCATTTCGAGTTCCGTCAAATTAAACGCTTCCCGACGGTAACGTCAAATTTGCGTGCGCAAACCGTCCCATACGCTTCCCGGAACGGTTCCGCTTTCAACTTGCCAGGTTCCTGGTTCCAGGTTTGGGCCCACTTCCTCGTCCCCTACTTCCACCTTTCTCTCACTCCTTCTCTCTCTCTCTCTCTCCCTCCCTCTCTCTCTCTCTCTCTCTCTCTCTCTTCCCCACCTCGGATGAGTCCTTCGTTTTCTCATGACTACAGAAGAAGAAGAGAAGTCGTCGTGACTCGTTTGGTCGCGCGACATCTTAGCCAGCACGCGATCCTGTCGCCCCCCTAATAATCAAAAACCAGCCCGATTATCCTGTAAGGAGGAAGGAAAGTTGTCTTACGGAAGGATATTCTCTTCGTGTCTAATGTACCTTTTGTCAGTACTAAATATTATTTTTTATTTTTCGTCCCCTAATTTCTTGGTTAAAATCGTGATTTTCTTCGGTACCGGCTAGTGCCCCATTTACCTCCTCAAATCACATGAATTTCTACAGGGACAGACTATAGACAATGGGTAATGTAAAATACGAGGTATTCTTAATGATAACGATTACGCCATTCCCTTACTCGCCAATAGGTCAAAAATCGGCTTCGTGTTAACTTATAGGCATGTAGATAATTCCTAATTCTGTCTTACTATAGGCATCCCTCAAGAATTAACCAGGATTCGATAAATCAAAATCCTAGGAGGAGTCCTCGACACGAAAACGGATATCGGAGTGTGTCATCGTGGCGCACGCCATCATCCCTTTCCGGGCGTAATTTATTTTATACTTTAAAACCCCGGCACTGTCATGCTCCCTTAGGGGTCGAGTGGTACTGCTAGCCGCCGAACTCTAAACTCCGTTAAAAGCACGGAGAGTCGCATAAATTAGACCCTCGAGGAAAAAGAGGAACGAGGTATTTCTTACCCTTAAGTTTAATCGATAAGGACCCCCATTGCGTTTCTCGAGGACCTTCCTGCTACATTTGCCTGCTGTCCTCCTTATTGGTACCCTTTTTCATTTTTTTCCATTTTTTTTTTTTCCATCCCTCTTCACCATCTCAAGTAACGACAATATTATCCTTGTAGGGGTTGGTAGTGGAGAATCTGCCATTTCTTTGAAATCTTCGATAAAACGTACCGGCGGAAAGGATTTTACTGCTGGCAGGGATCATCGTACGATTTTTCAAGCAGGAATATTAATCGCGATTTACAAGGACGCGGAGATCATGGTGGCCGTTATGTATAGCGACGGGACGGATAATTCAAATGGCAGTATTCTCGATGAATAAATTTCAAAAGTTTATCGCGGAATCGCATGTCGGGTAATGTCGCTTTATTACCGTGCAGGAGGACGCAGGAGGACGCAGGAGGACGCTACTGTCGACCTGTCGACTGTGACTGCGACTGTGACTGTGACTATGCACGTTACAACGGAGAGAAGAACTTCCGAATAAGTAGTAGCGCGCGAGCTGACAGGAAACTTGGAAGTCATTATAATTATTGGCGAACGCGGAATTATATATTGTATCGTGGAAACATGCAACTTCGCCGCTATGCAACTTCTCTTTCTTTCTCTCTCTCTCTCTCTCTCTGTGTGACGTTCTGACATTAATAATGTCCTTCCTTTGTGACCGGGTGTACCAGCGTGGTACCACCTCCCAGTATTATTCCCAGGATATGCTATACGAGACGGTAAAATCAAACTGTCACTTTTCTTTTGACGGATAGGTAAACTCTCATCATTTCATTGGTTATTACCGCAGAGACAATTGTTACACGAATATCAAGAATAGCCGATTCACATTGGGAAGTCGACGAATGATTTAGGACTTGAGAAAATTTCTGTACGTCTAATATAAGAAATACAGATAGAGGCAGAGAGGAGACGAAGAAAGGGGAAAAATCCATGAATAATTCTTTAAATCGAAAATCTTGAACGGCGTCTCGGGTTGTCGACGCTGTCGCTTGTCGCCAATGTGAAAACCGTAAGTACGGTTTCTCTCCCTGCCTAAATCGTGCGCTACCCGCAGAGCCGGCTACTTGCTGGCAGTTCGACGAACGAAAAGACAAAGGCCGCTCTTGCTTTCATCCTGCCGACATTAAGGTACCGTACCTACTAGTGCCTATAACATATAGAGCTACACCCATACGTTCCTCGGGACAATACAGCTCGTATGCGGGTCCAACGGATCTCATGTGGAGTATCCCATCTATACGTATGTGTATAGAGATATGTATATAGATATATGGGAGCACGTTTTCCACGTGTGACGCGAAGGCTTGCTATTTCTTAGGAAGACCTTCTAGAAGGTGCTAGACGCTTGGGAGATTTTTGAGGTGTCGACAGTTAAGATTCCTCTTCTTGTCACACGCACGTGTACGGAGTACGTATTCTTGGGTGCAGAATCTTCCCTGGGGATGACGCGAAGGGATCTCATGATTTTTAAATTATTATTCAGTCCTCCGTGGTCGCCTCGTGAATTCAACGTCTCCTGGTTACGCAAGGATGCAGAATCGATAATAGGATGCACTCCTGGGGGAGCCTGGACGTAGGCAGGTCCCGGATGGACTCGCGGCAGATAAGGGACCCCCCAAAGCCACGGTCGGCGCCGCCGCTTCGCATCGAATCCTTCTACTTCTCTCTCGGGTGGTCCACGACGCTGTCATGCTCCGCGCATCTTCGCGATTTTCCTTTTATGCGAAACCGCCTGCGTCTGCAGTCCTCCCACCCTTTCGCTGAATCGGTGCTCTTCGGGTTTTCTCGGTCGTGGTCGTAGATGATTTTTTTTTAAATAGAAACTGCTATACGCAGAGATCATATATGCATATGCAATTACTGGTTAAGGAATTGGATTGATTTTTTATGAAAATTTTGTCATTCCCTTATTTTATTTTTTAACTCCTATTAATCGAGCATGGAATTTTTTTTTCGTTATTTTTTATTTTTTTTTTTTTTAAACCTGATTTATAGAAATT